AGCTGTTACATAAAGACCTCACTATCCCTAGATATAACCCATTCTTAGCTGTTACATAGAGACCTCACTATCCCTAGATATAACCCATTCCTAGCTGTTACATAAAGACCTCACTATCCCTAGATATAACCCATTCTTAGCTGTTACATAGAGACCTCACTATCCCTAGATATAACCCATTCTTAGCTGTTACATAGAGACCTCACTATCCCTAGATATAACCCATCCTTAGCTGTTACATAGAGACTCTCACCATCCCTAGATATAACCCATCCTTAGCTGTTACATAGAGACTCTCACCATCCCTAGATATAACCCATCCTTAGCTGTTACATAGAGACCTCACTATCCCTAGATATAACCCATTATTAGCTGTTACATAGAGACCTCACTATCCCTAGATATAACCCATTCTTAGCTGTTACATAGAGACATCACTATCCCTTGCTAAAACCCATTCTTAGCTGTTACATAGAAACCTCACCATCCCTAGATATAACCCATCCTTAGCTGTTACATAGAGACTCTCACCATCCCTAGATATAACCCATCCTTAGCTGTTACATAGAGACTCTCACCATCCCTAGATATAACCCATCCTTAGCTGTTACATAGAGACTCTCACTATCCCTAGATATAACCCATCCTTAGCTGTTACATAGAGACTCTCACTATCCCTAGATATAACCCATCCTTAGCTGTTACATAGAGACTCTCACCATCCCTAGATATAACCCATCCTTAGCTGTTACATAGAGACTCTCTCAATCCCTAGATATAACCCATCCTCAGCTGTTACATAGAGACTCTCACCATCCCTAGATATAACCCACCCTTAGCTGTTACATAGAGACCTCACTATCCCTAGATATAACCCATCCTTAGCTGTTACATAGAGACTCTCACTATCCCTAGATATAACCCATTCTTAGCTGTTACATAGAGACTCTCACCATCCCTAGATATAACCCACCCTTAGCTGTTACATAGAGACCTCACTATCCCTAGATATAACCCATTATTAGCTGTTACATAGAGACCTCACTATCCCTAGATATAACCCATCCTTAGCTGTTACATAGAGACTCTCACCATCCCTAGATATAACCCATCCTTAGCTGTTACATAGAGACTTTCTCAATTCCTAGATATAACCCATCCTTAGCTGTTACATAGAGACCTCACTATCCCAAGCTAAAACCCATTCTTAGCTGTTACATAGAGACATCACTATCCCTAGATATAACCCATTCTTAGCTGTTACATAGAGACTCTCACCATCCCTAGATATAACCCATTTTATCTGTTACTTAGAGACCTCACTATCCCTAGCTAAAACCCATTCTTAGCTGTTACAAAGAGACCTCACTATCCCTAGATATAACCCATCCTTAGCTGTTACATAGAGACTCTCACAATCCCTAGCTAAAACCCATTCTTAGCTGTTACATAGAGACCTCACTATCCCTAGATATAACCCATTCTTAGCTGTTACATAGAGAGAGACATTCTAGCTGTTACATAGAGATCCCTAGATATAACCCATCCCTTAGCTGTTACATAGAGACTCTCACCATCCCTAGATATAAATCTTAGCTGTTACATGAACGTAGGGATATCAATTAATTGAAAATTTTCTTGAAGAAAAAAACATCCTTAGCTGTTACATTGAGACTCGGATATGTATAACCGATGTCTTAGCTGTTACATTTTGAGAATTACTAATTTGATAAGTTTACTATTGTAATAATTTTAGTGATATTTTACCACCAAAAGCTCGTAACAAAACATTGCTTTATATTATGTGTTGTTGTGCGAGAAAAGAATTTTTAAATATATATATATTACGTAAAATTATCGTAAACAGTAAGATAATGAATTTTCATAGGACAACTATTTTCGTTTAATTCGTGGGGACTTTAATGCCATGAATTTTACATATCCACGAAATGTAATATATTCAAGTTAACATGGAATACAATGTATATAGTATTATAAGAACATGTGAGCAAAACTTATCCTTGTTTTCTTGAAAACCGCGAATTTGCAGTCCCATGAAAATATAGGATTTTTTATAGTATATTTAATAACAGCATATACTTGTAGCTGACGGGTGTTAATACATTTGAGGGACAATGACAAGGTCAATATAAAGAATGAACTCTTTATTCGAAGGTTTTAGAATGATGATTATTTGTTATCATGAAAATGTATGTTTGAAGAATGACAGTATTTCGAGGGAATAAATATATTTCGGATGATATGCGTGTCATTTAGGATGAGAATTGAGATTTAAGGAATTTCCAGATCCTAAGGCCTGGTAATCATTGGAGGCCTTAGGTGTCTGATTTATGTCATTTCGATATTCCGTCTTTTCACCACAAAGGGACGAGAGTTAAAAGTCTTAATTTTTTCTCGTTCGTCTTTTCGTGTTTAACGAAACTTAATCCTCGTCTGTTTGCCCCGAAAAAATTGAAAGAACGAACAATTTTACACGATAAGATGAAATACATAAGCGAGTTTGATTCTCGTCTTTTCATCTTCGCCCCTAAAAGGCTAGAATTCAGGTTTCATAGTTAATTCTCCTCTTTTCGGCGCGAAAATAAAAAAAGATAAAAATTTTAAACCCAAACAAAAGACGAAATAATAAAATGGCACATTGTAGTCACATCAAGATATTTATATTGTTACGACATCCTGCGGCCTGATAACTATAAACATATGTTTGTCGGGGTTGGTTATGAGAAAATCACATCGACTTTATTGTTCCTTATTTATAAATGTCTGTTTTCACATGTGGCTATCATTTAATTCGTTTCTCTGGCAGATGTCATTTTGAAATATTTTCCGTCAGCGATATCAAAGATAAAACTTTATTGTTGTTTTGAATTCATAATAGTCACGAATATGTTTGACAATACATTATAACTTACATTTATGTTTGGCAATATATTTCAACCTATGATTATGTCTGACAATGTATTACAGCTGATGTTTGACAATACATGATAACTTATGACAATGTTTGATAATACATTACAACTTATAATTATGTTTGACAGTATATTATAACTTATGATTACGTTTGACAATACAATTTAAATCAAAGTTTATGTTTTTCAGTTCTCATGCTGTGTTTCACCAGATGTTACGTGACATCACTTGTTTATGTACAAATATGATTAATTCATAAGTTATAACTTTGATAAAATTTAATTTTCTTGTAACAAAAACACAAAGACAACTGAACTTCGTCTAAAACATTCCGGAGTATTTCCTTGAATTTTTAAAAACATCACGACTGGAATCAGACACGTTCAATATCGTCACTTTCTTCCTGTCCGTTTATATTTCCATGGCAATTTGTCGAAAATTGTTATTACTGGAGATTAACTGCACGTTAGCTATTTCAAATGGTCTTATAACAAAAGGGTTGGTCACATGTTGTACAATTCATTCTGAACCGTTTTCTATTTAATTACTATTAAACAATACCTATACTTATGACATACTTAGATAAACTGAAACCCCAAATCTAAAATACCCTCTCACCAACAAAATTCAACGATAATCATGTAAAAACAATATACTTTCTGAAAAAGTAAATTCTTGGAAACTCAGAGATTATACTATAGCGGTAGATTGTCATGTGAACAATTATAGAAATAAAGCTGAATACATTTCACTCTAAGCTCTCTAAGAAATACTGCAGTGTGACATTGAACACCCTTATACGACATGTAGTCTCTAAATATATTTTGAATAAAGAGACAAACTCAAGCGGCCAAGCCGATTCGTGTAAAATATCACACAATCGACCAAATGACAATATCTCCTTAGGGAATAATTCTTACAACCAACATTATAGTACAAATTGAAAGCTTTAGGTTCGTGCCGACTAAAGTGGCTTCCTTGATGAGGACAATAATGTAGTCAAACGCCATTAGGGCCTATGTTCCTCGTTGAGCAATAATTCTCATGTAAGACGATGCGTGCGACCTCCTACACAAATGAAACAGTGGTATAATGACATAAAATATTAAGGGCACATAGTTCTCCCTGGAGCTAGAATCGGGCAGGTGAACACACGAACTGGAGCACGATAAAATTGATAATCACACATGTTACTGATTTCACTAGTATCGGGTATAGAGGAAACACAGCCGGTGATATCAATTACGAACTCTGTAAGTGTTTGGAGAGAGTGGGCGTGGGCAGGGTGATAGGTGATGATATGGCGAGCGTTCGGAAAAAGAAGACATGGATGAAAATGTTACTGATTTTTGGTGGAAAATGGGAGAGAACTGATGAATGAGAGAAGGATGATGTCTGGGTTTAGTATTATAAGAAAATGGAAATGCATAAGTAAATAGGTAAAATATGTAGGTGTATAAGGAAGAGAGATGCAATTTTGGAATGTTTATAAAAATAGATGTGGATACATGTAGGTGGAGAAGATGTTGAAACCATCGATAGACAATGGCCGTGGACAGGTAAATGCACTGGAAACACATGAATGTTTACAGGCTGTGGACTGGAAGAAGAGATGTCATTGATCACGTGGAAAAGTGGACAGGGAAAGGAGTTGGAATTATGGGAATGTTTATAAAGAGTGGGCGTGGTCAAGTGAAGGAGAGACAATCTCAGGGATGTTCATAAACAGTGGTTATTGTCAGGTAAAGGAAAGAAAATATTAGGGACGTTTTTAAACAGTGAGCGTGGTCAAGTAAAGGAAACTGAATCAAAGGAATGTTTATAAAGTGTGGGTGTGGTCAGGGGGAAGGAGAGGGAATCAAAGGGATGTTTATAAGCAGTGGGCGTGGTCAGGTAAAGGAAAGGGAATCGTCGGAATCTTTATACAGAGTGGGCGTGGTCAGGTAAAGTAAAGGGAATCAAAGGAATGTTTATAAACAGTGGGCGTGGTCGGGGGAAGGAGAGAACATCAAAGGAATGTTTTTAAAGTGTGGGCGTGGTCAAGTAAAGGAAAGGGAATCCAATGAATGTTTATAAAGAGTGGAAATGGTCAGGGGGAGGGAGAGAACATCAAAGGAATGTTTATAAGCAGTGGGCGTAGCCAGGTAAGTTAAAGGGAATCAAAGGAATGTTTATAAACAGTGGGCGTGGTCAGGTAAAGTAAAGGGAATCAAAGGAATATTTATAAACATTAGGCGTAGTCAAGTAAAGGAGAAGGGATCATAGGAATGATAATAAACAGTGAGTGTGGTCTAATAAAGGCGATGAAAGGTTGTTATAGTTTGCAAAAAGACGTGTAAATGTAAAAGTGATATAATAATGGGAATATTTATAATAAAAAAAAGTCGGCATGGATAGGTATAAGAGATAGAAATAATGGAATATTTCATATATTTGGCGTGTACAGGTAAAGGAGATGGATGTTTGTATGATATATGTATATTCTGAGACAGTGATCATGAGCGATGAGCGTGCAAGGAGACGAGATGGATATCTAGGCTTACTCTGGAAAATGTCGGCGTGGACAACTCAGGAAAATGTCGGCGTGGACAAACCCCGGAAAGTGTCGGCGTTTGGGGGATAGAAATTTCTTTCCATCTCATTCTCTTCTACTTTTGAACTATGCGGTGACCAATCTACAATTTATTTTCATGGGCCCTTTTCAAATTTATTGTTAAATACAATGTGTCATTAATGCAAGAAATGTTATGAATACAGGGCTCGGGACCCGTTAGTAGATTGATCACAGAATATATAATTATAATAAAAGTCTATCTGTTAAGAAATATATTGATTACAGAAATAAATCTGACTAGAAGCTCTTGATTGATACTGCCATGTTCTTTGAACATTATAAGGGCACGTGTTTGTTGTTATCGCAGTGCTATGTCCTTTGTCGCCATATTATTTGTTCCGGTTGGTACCCGGAAAACATCACAATGACGTCAGGAGAAAATTAAATTTGATTCAGAAATCATCGTTGTTTGGCTATATATATATATATATCACGTGACTTTTTCGTGATTCTACGCCTATCTAAGGGTTCTGGGTTGATGAAGTAGAGAGTTGTAGAATCACACAAACATGTTTACATGTAATGTTTAATTACCCGTCTTGTCAATGGGTCCGCTGTAAGGGGAGACCAGATTGTAAGGCGTGAACGCATTATTGACCATGGGTTCCAATTTAAGTCGCCCATAACATTAAGTAATGAAATGGTCAATAGATGACCAGGTACATTCCTCTGGGACCTGTTTACGTCATTACGTTGGATAACTAAACAGGAAATAAGGGTTAGATCGATATCCGTCCATCAATACTGATTAAGTAATCATTCGATTAAGGATATTAATATCACGTCTGAACAAAGTTAAGCTGTAACTATAAAATTAATCAGATCTTCTTTTTATGTACTGATCTCCGGATCATCTGTCTATATAAGGTGATTCCAAGCGGATTAATTTCATAAAGATATGAATTATTATTCTGTAATAGTGCTGCCCCTACCCCGCCCAGCAGTTCCTCATACTTTTCATAAAGTCTAATTAAGATTAAACTTGGATCGTTTTTGAACTTTCAATTTACAGTTTGCAAGTTGGCTGATCCCGAGGCCAAGTCACGTGGATGATGGTGATCTTAAGGGAATGGCGAGACCAGTGATAGGCAGAGAGGATGATGGGAATGATGGGAGAATCTCTCTGGGAGTAATGAACCACAAGTTAGACAAGATGGGTGATAATAAATTACGTCTTGACCACTTAAGTGGCCGTCAAAGGAAGACTTATAGTGAAGATAACAGCTTTGACCTGACACAAAGCGATATTAACCTCGCCCAAGACGGTTGGCCTGACAATGAACCGGCTTACTCGGTTCGTCCAATCCCTAGAAAGCGTGGATATCCAGACTTCAGTTCACAATATGGCGGCAGTCTTCACTTTCGATCTTGGAGCAGAAACGAACAATTAAGGTTAAATCGCTTCAGTCCTCCCAGGCGACATTTCCGACGGGTAATATATATCTTCAGAACGTCCGTCCGTCCGTCCTTTTATCATTGATTATAGTAATTATATATACGATATGTAAATGGGCGAATGGATGTGACTTAGTAAAAAGTACGGTCTCTGATTACGATGGAATCCATTATGAATTAAATCCTACTTCCAGTCCAACATGAGAGGAATACATCCTCAATCGATTTTGACCTTTAATTTTTTGGATTTCATGTAACTAAGGTTTTATACTCTTCGTAGATTTAAGCCAGTCACTTAATTTTCGATTTATAAAAAACAACAGACTTAAACTTGAGACGTTAGGTTATTGTGACGTCACTTAACATCATCATACGAAGGCAGTGGAAGTAAGGAGATATTCTTAATACAGATGTATTACTGTAGTAGTTGATCTACTTTTGCAATATGGAAAAATATTTACACTTTTCTTCCATTTTCAAAAAAACTACACTTTTCTGAACTTGACCATTTCCGTGTCATCATATTTGGGCATTTAAATGCCTTTAGTTTTACCAAGATTTTTATTGATGTTAAATGCTGATTTGCAGAGCAGAATAAACTGTGTGAGCGTTCTTTCTTTCCACAGCCTACAGTATCTGTGACAGTGGACGGAACAATCTTTGACCCGGATGTCCTCTTCACACAAAATATCACCCCGGAACCGGAAATGTCAGTGTTCAGGGCTTTGATGTCTGCAGCATTAACTTTTAGACGACAACAACGTGCAGGCGCAGAGAACCCGTTCAATGTCATGCTGGACTGGGACTACCAGAACGACTGTGAAGCTATAGCGGACATATTTGGGATGACGAACTCTGATCGCCATTTGTGGAGGATTTACGTTCGAAGACGACGTGGTCGGGTAAATTATCACATCAAAAAGGTTATGTAAGATGACGTCACATAACACTTTAACGACAGTTGTGAAACCAATCGGATGGTTAACACAATTGGTCTAGTTCAAACATATTTTACATAACGAAATAAACAGGATTGGACAAAAGTTAAAAAATAAAACAAAATAAAACTTATCACGTCCTCTCCCATATAACATACATACAGTTGATACAAATAACAAAAAATGTACCGGTGCTTATTAACATGATCGTTTTATAGCTAAAATGAACATTAAAATAAATAATGAATTGATTGACGCTAGCACTCAAACACGTGTTGTTAGGTATGAGAATGACACAGAGAGTACAGTAGTAACACAATCCGAAGATTTTAGCCCGTGTGTACTTATGTTAATGATAAATCTGTATCTATCGAAACACGGTGAAACTGACAGGATTTAACAACCACTAGCCTTAAATGTTTTATTTAATCAAATATCCGTAGCACCGCTCCTCATAAACACGTCATCCCTACGTCACTCCTAATTATCCTCAGACAAATCCGAACGCGCCCATTTTAAGAGAAAATCTAATCGATTCCCGTCGTGTTTTGACAAACACACTATTATTATTGATACTATTACTAATTACAGATGTTACTATTTAAAGACAAGCGAACTCTTTATATATTTGTGAACTGCCAGAAATATATCTTTATTCTCGTTAAAAGAAAGTACACTTGATCTGTGTAACAGTATATCTATATCTTTTTGTCCGTACATTGTCAATTAAAAAAATGCTTGTCTGCTTTCTTCGTGTAAATGACAATCAAGGAATGATAATTAATACGAGTCAGGCAGTACCTGGAAAGAGCGAATCTTACATGCCACAATGACATTCTCGATTGAAAGTAGCAAGACAATAAAACAGCAATAAATATGGTTAATTGGTTGGTACTTCAAGAAATGAAGAAAATTGGCGCGCTACAGCGACTGGTCGATCACGCAATTATTGTGACATTTACGTTTTGTGTCCTTTTGTATATGTTTTGACGTCATGATATCGGTTGGCGTTATACGCCGGGTACTTGTGAGCACGGTCATACGTACGTAGAGGGAAAATTATGTTCATTTCATTTGTGTAAAATCATCTTTATGCTTAGCTACACTTAAAAGTAGGTCACCAATTTTAGGAAAGCGAAAATGTCTGTCGTCCGTCGTCAATTTTTCCATATTTATACGACTTTTGCTCAATATTCGGCAAACAAAATGTCACAATTTTTGGCTTGTTGGTTGCTGAGATGAAACTCGACAAAGTTGGTGAAAAGAAATGACCCCAATGCAAGGTCGCAAGGTTTCTTCTTCTCCTCCTTGTTTTCTTCTTCTTCTTCGTCTTTTCATTCTTCTTCTTTAATTAGAATTAGCGAGGATAATGGGCAGGGCACCTACGCTACATGTATTTCACACCCGGAAGATTTTTTCCTCAAATGGATCAATTCTTGGAACCTCTCGTCCTGGACGTGAAAAAACTTGTTACTCATATAAGGCTGTGTGTAGATCATATTTCTAGTAAGTGAAAAGAAGCATTTTCTGGTACATCATTCACAGAATAAATAACACTACACCAGTCTTCGCCCAACTTCACTCACAACTTGCGTTTGTAAAACTCTAGAGCGGATGATAAATTCAAGATCAATTTGGCATCTGGAATCCAATTACATAATATCACCCCTACAAAGGGTTTTAGATCTAAGCGAGGTACCAACGATCATTTGGTTAGACTTGAAACCTTTGTGCGTGAGGCTTTTCTAAAGAAGGAGCACTTGGTTGCTGTTCTCTTCGATTACGGAAAAGGGTTACAACATTATGCCGTATGTGGAAATACGGTATAATGAAAGATCTGCATGACATAGGTAATCTACCAAATTTCGTTTCAAATTTTCTATCAGATAGAGTATTTCAAGTCCGGAATGGAACGATCGTTTCCGATGTTCAACAGGAAATAGGTGTGTCACAAAGCAGTAATCTCTCGGTTACACTTTTTGGACTTAAAAATTAACAGTATTGTCAAAACATTATCTCCTTCAATGGAGGGCGCTCTTTATGTCGATGACTTCATCATATGCTGTCGATCTAAGCATATGAATACCAATGAAAGACAACCGAACAATGTTTGATTCGACTCCAAATTTGGTTTCAAATTTTCACAATAAAAAACAGTTTGTATGCTTTTCTGTCAATTGTCTTCCACATATAAAATACCTTAAAGCCAAAAGCCTTAAGGCAATGAATATTCTAAAGCTTGTGTCCAACACTGGTTGGGATGCTGATAGAAAAGTTTTGCTAAGACTTTATAGAACTCTTATTAGATCAAATTTAGACTACGGTTCCATTGTGTATGGATCTGTTAGAACTTCATATCTCAAATTTTTAGACCCCGTTCATCACCAGAGTCTGGGGCTCGTTCTCCGAGCTTTTAAGACCACGCCTATTGCAAGCCTCTATGTAGAGGCTAACGAACTATCACTATATAGCAGTCGAAATAAGATGGCTTTGCAATACACCATTCAGCTAAAGTCAAATCCTTCAAATCCTGCCTTTTCATTCGTGCTTGATCCAAAAAATATAAAAAAAAGTGCTTCAAAACCAACCAAAGACCATTGCACCATTCGATATTCGGATTTCCGCTCTTTTACAAAACGCAAATATTGATATTGACCATATTCAGTCATTTGGAACGATAGAAATTTCACCCTGACTCTTCCATTCACCTGAAGTTTACTTTTCACTTCAAGAAATGGTTAAACCAGACACTGACAGTTACACCCTCCGTCAACCCTTCTCGAAATTGCCGTCAAGATATAAAAAAAATCTACGTCTATATACTGATGGTACAAAAGATAATTGTAAAATTTCTGCGGCCTTGGTTACACAAGATGAAGCCTATGGTTGGCGGCTACCAAACAGCGCCTCGATATTCTCGGCGGAAGCGCGAACTATCTACCTCGCCCTTTAACATATTTAAACAAACAAAGTAATGAGAGCTGTTATCCATTCAGACTCTCTTTCTGTACTACAAAATCTTAGCAATAGAAATATCAAAAACATTTTCATTCTTAATACAATAATACTATTTCATGAACTTGTCTCAAACTTTCGTATTACTTTTTGCTGGGTTCCTGGACACATGGAAATACCAGGCAATGAAAAAGCAGATCGTGCCGCAAAGGAAGCTTTATCACTACCACCTGTTGTTTTAAAACTTCATTTAACTAATTTTAAACCATTTATCAAACAATTTTCAACAGCTCAGTGGCAGGAGGAACGGAATGAATATACCGATAATAAATTGCACTGCGTTAAATCTGTTATCAGTGAATGGTCTCCAGGCTATAGAGACAACCACCGAGACGAAGTTGTCCTTGCTCGTCTTCGGATGGACCATACTTACCTTACACATTCATATATGTTGAAAGGCGAAGATAATCTTGGTGCATAGAATGTGATGAACCATTCACCGTTAAACATGTTTTATTGGACTGTATTGATATTCTGTCTACTCAAGAATTTTTTATCGTAACGTTACATGTCTAAAGATCCTTCTTTGAAACTGTTGAGATTTTATAGGTTATCTGAAATAGAATATTATAGAATATGACTTACCATTTAATTTTTTTGTGATAATACATCCATTGAAGATTTTTAGTATTCGTCTTTTACCTTTAAGTTTATTGATGTTATTTCCTTTTTTTGGGATCGCTGTGTCTTTCAACGGTTTATGAATCTAATGAACTTTTATGTGTTGACTGGCCGTTAAAATTGTAATAATAATAAAAAAAATCAATATCATTTTACATGTTAACGGTCACGTGATGTCACATTTGTCTGGTTTTGCCTGTCGGTGTAACGTTATATACCAGTAATTGCAAATAGATCAGACATGACGTCATATACCAGGCGTATTTTTACAAGAAGTCGTAAGTACATGATTCTGTTGTATTTTTGTATTATGATGTGCTATTTAACGTGATCCTGTCAGGTGGTAGCAAATGCTAGTAAATGTCCGGTGTTGACCGTCTATTGTCAGGTGTTTGGTAAGTTACTTGTGGTCTATAGGACTTCAGGTATGTATAGGTCTCATTTGATACTTACAGGTCCCTATTGTTATAAACAATAAATAGTTAATAATGTATGATCATTAATCTGTGTTTAATAGTGTTTCGTATCAGGTGAGAATTTTTATCATGAAAGTCCGGATGTGTTGTCGAATTTGGTCTGCGTGTATCACAGACGAACATCTGATACCACACCTCTTACTGTGACAGGTGTCCGTGTATCACTGGCGAACATCTGATACCACACCTCTTACTGTGACAGGTGTCCGTGTATCACTGGCGAACATCTGATACCACACCTCTTACTGTGACAGGTGTCCGTGTATCACTGGCGAACATCTGATACCACACCTCTTACTGCAACAGGTGCCCGTGTATCACCGACGAACACCTAATACCACACCTCTTTCTGTGACAGGTGTCCGTGTATCACCGACGAACACCTAATACCACACCTCTTACTGTGACAGGTGTCCGTGTATCACTGACGAACACCTGATATCACCCCTCTTACTGCAACAGGTGTCTGTGTATCACCGACGAATACCTACCACACCTCTTACTGTGACAGGTGTCCGTGTATCACTGACGAACACCTGATATCACCCCTCTTACTGCAACAGGTGTCTGTGTATCACCGACGAACACCTAATACCACACCTCTTACTGTGACAGGTGTCCGTGTATCACTGACGAACACCTGTTTCCACCCAGGTGTCCGTGTATCACCGACGTACATCTGACACCCAGGTGTCCGTGTATCAGTAACGAAAACTTGATACCACCCAGGTGTCCGTGTATCACCGACGAACACCTGATATCACCCCTTTTATTGCAACAGGTGCCCGAGTATCACTGACGAACATCTGATACCACCCTGGTGTCCGTGTAACACCGACGAACATCTGATACCACCTCTCTTACTGTGACAGGTGTCCGTGCATCACCGACGAACAACTGATACCACCCCTCTTACTGTGACAGGTGTCCGTGTATCACCGACGAAAAACTGATACCACCCCTCTTACTGTGACAGGTGTCCATGTATCACCGACGAACATCTGATCCCACCCAGGTGTCCGTATATGACCGACGAACACCTGATACCACCCAGGTGTCCATGTATCACTAACGAACATCTGATACCACACCTCTTACTGTGACAGGTGCCCATGTATCACCGACGAACAGCTGATACCACCCAGGTGTCCTTGTATCACAAACGAACACCTGATACCACCCAGGTGTCCGTGTATCACCGACGAACATCTGATACCACCCAGGTGTCCGTGTATCACCGACAAACATCTGATATCACCCCTCATACTGCAACAGGTGCCCGTGTATCACTAACGAACAACTGATACCACCCCTCTTACTGTGACAGGTGTCCGTGTATCACCGACGAACAACTGATACCACCCCTCTTACTGTGACAGGTGTCCATGTATCACCGACGAACATCTGATCCCACCCAGGTGTCCGTATATGACCGACGAACACCTGATACCACCCAGGTGTCCATGTATCACTAACGAACATCTGATACCACACCTCTTACTGTGACAGGTGCCCATGTATCACCGACGAACAGCTGATACCACCCAGGTGTCCTTGTATCACAAACGAACACCTGATACCACCCAGGTGTCCGTGTATCACCGACGAACATCTGATACCACCCAGGTGTCCGTGTATCACCGACAAACATCTGATATCACCCCTCATACTGCAACAGGTGCCCGTGTATCACTAACGAACACCTGATACCACCCATGTGTCCGTGTATCACCGACGAACATCTGATACCACCCATGTGTCCGTGTATCACTTACGAACACCTGATACCACCCAGGTGCCCGTGTATCACTAACGAACACCTGATACCATTCCTCTTTCTTGTTTTAGGTGGTGTACCGTGGAGTCTGTTTCCCTCCAGAGCGTGTTTTAGTACGACCAGGAACACGGGTTACGTTACAATACAGTTGATTGACTACAAGCCAGCTGGCCGTGTCTATCAAATGCATCTTCATTCATTTTAACTTCATTATTCCTCTGACGAATTACTAATTATTATGTAGCGCTTTGGTAGAAAAAAACTTAATAATAAACATTTTTTAATTAAACAGAATATTCGTGTTGTCTTGTTGCTGTTGCTCGTCATTTGACCTATTTAAAACGTTAATTGATATTCAAATGTAACGCCCACAAATCATAGTCTATATAACGATTATATCATAAAACACAGAGTATGACGTGAACCTTATCAGAGTCGATTTTGCCTGGACGCAACTCACTGTGCAATGGGGAGCGATTGACTGTAGAAATAAAGAATATATAGAATATAAATATATTTGACACCGCGGGCTCCAAATTAAAAAAAAACTTCGTGTGTAGGCGGCCATATATTTGGGTTATCCCCTCATTATCCAGTTGTTGTCTGTCCTTTGTAACGACCTGTCTGTCATTTGTGCATTCTCTCTCCCTCATTCAGTTGTTGTCTGTCCTTTGTGCGATCTCTCACCCTTGTCCAGTTGTTGTCTGTCCTTTGTAACGTCATGTCTGTCTTTTATGCAGTCTCTCTCACTCAACCAGTTGTTGTCTGTCCTTTGAACCGTCATTGTCTGTTCCTTATGTAGTCTCTCACCTTCATCCAATTGTTGTCTGTCTTTCGTACCGTCACTGTCTGTCCACTGTCTTATGCAGTCGATCTCCTTCATCCATTTGTTGTCTGCCCTTTGCACCGTCACTGTCTCTTCCTTATGTAGTCTCTCTCTTTCATCCAGTTGTTGTCTGTCTTACGTACCGTCACTGTCTTATGCAGTCTCTTTCTCTTATCAAGTTGTTGTCTGTCCTTTGTACCATCACTGTCTGTTCCATATGCAGTCGCTCTCCCTCATCCAGTTGTTATCTGTCCTTTGTACCATCACTGTCTGTCCCTTATGCAGCCGCTCTTCCTCATCCAGTTGTTGTCTGTCTTTCGTACCGTCACTGTCTGTCCACTGTCGTATGCAGTCTCTTTCTCTTAACAAGTTGTTGTCTGTCCTTTGTACCATCACTGTCTGTTCCATATGCAGTCACTCTCCCTCATCCAGTTGTTATCTGTCCTTTGTATGTCACTGTCTGTCCACTGTCTTATGCAGTCACTTTCTCTTATCAAGTTGTTGTTTGTCCTTTGTACCGTCACTGTCTGTTACATATGCAGTCGCTCTCTCTCTCTCATCCAGTTGTTATCTGTCCTTTGTACGTCACTGTCTGTCCCTTGTGCAGTCACTATTTTATGGAATTTAGCTATAGGTCACATAAAGTTCACGGTAAATAAATTCTAAGTTTTTTGATAATGTAAAATATTAATTGGAGATTATCTTAACGGTTCAGATGTTCTCCACAACAGAACACAGAAGACATTTTAAATCATACTCATCTTTATTTACATCAAATCGTAGATCTTTTTACGAAATACAAAGGATAACGATTATAATTTGGCGGTATTTTCTTATACTTGAATACTTGGTGACATTGAAGTGTCGGTGGAAACATCATTGGATTAGACATCTGTCGTGGCTGAAGTGTCGGTGGTAACACTGTCTGTTTGAGCTCCTATGCCGTTCGTTGTTTGAAAAGACTGTATTGTGGCTGGTGGATCAGTTGATGGTAGTCCAACGGTCTGCGGCACTTGTGTATGTACATTTACCTTGACTAAAACGTTTAAAAGACTTCGATGTACCTCACAGATAAAATCAATGTACTGAAAGTACTGAGAGGCTAAACGTATTGAAAAATGTTCAGAAATAACCGCTAAGCTATATTACTTTCCCCATACTCCTACACTTTGGAATGCAAAAATTACTAAAATAAGAGAACCAGAGACTATTTTTTTTAATTTTAAGCGATTTTATATCTTCTTTAATTCTTATTTCAAATTTGACGACAATAATGTGAATAAATCAAAATAGGTAAAAAAAAAAAGATAATAATAATAACAAAATACACACAACCATATATTTATCGCCAACAAGCCAAATGATAAATAGCTCTATGATGAAGTTGACTAAATAAAACCTTTGAAATACCTAAGATGTTACAATTACTATCCGATCAATATGAGGATTTAAACAAATCGAAAGGACTTTATACCTACTTCTTTATTTTGAATGTATTGCAAAGTAATAGTCCTTACTTATTATAATAATATTTGTAGTTGAGGAAAGTAGATAAGGTATACACAGCATTTCAGATATATAAAAGTGTAATATATAAATGTATTTACATGCCTATCTCCTTGAAGTATCATGGTTAGACTTTTCTTCCAGTAATTATGTCTATAAAGGCATAGTTCTAAGAGACTAAACCAGACTTCCATATATATACAAAATTTACAATATTTTCACTATAGCTACTACTATTTCTGATCTCCAATGCATTAGATAATGTCACCATGACACGCTAAACGAATAAATATGTTATGGAAATATTTCGTTCTAGTTAATTGATAATTATAAACATGAAAATTTTGGGTTTTTTTTATACGCGCTTTGTTTGAAGGTATATTTTCATTTCAAGGAACTTTGATACACATTAACAAACATTGAGAAATCAGCACAATCAACCTTCATCAAATAAAACTAAAAGACAAAAAATATAAGTTATAACAAAGTCAACATCATGATCAGTGCATTATTAAAAATATATTATTCATAAATCATGAGCACCAAATGTACCTTGCCTACGAAGCGCAAACTTTTTATCTTCAAAAACTTGAAAAAGTGTCATAGAGGTGGATGTGAAAATCCTGAAAAAGTGTCATATCGGCGGATGTGCGCGTAGGATGAACAGTCCAATTTTGTGACGTCTAATGAGGTAAAGTGATGTTATATATTAAGACGATCTTGCCACAACGACAATGATTAAATCAAAATTGATGTTCTGTTTGTAAGTTTTGTTTTTTTTATAAGTGCTGATAGTTGATAATTCAAACCGAGCCCCCAGACTAGCTTCTGATCATGGCGCCAACTCGCACGTACAGTGTTCTATACGCTTACGTCATGTCGAGAATTCCGTAAAATATATTGTTCAAAATTTATCAATAGTTCAACCACTCTGTGCTTCTTTTTTGAAAAAAATAAACTAATTTTGGATGCTTTTAAAATAGCGATTTGAAAAATCGCGGCATTATTTACGCAGAAAATTGCCGCTAGAGGGCTCTAACTCTTTTCGATTTTTCAGCCAATGAGAAGGCCAGGATCGGTAAATTTTGTCTGGAAGGCCGTCACAATAGGCCATGCGTACTGAGTACGTTTAGCCTAAAAACATACATATGATGGCCATTAACTTGTTCTCTCCCGTAATTCTAGCATTTGTTTAAACGGATGAGGTGTTATTATACCGATCTACACAAAGAGATGACCATTTTCAGGAACAATAACATTTTGTCCTCAAACCAGTTTAACGTAAACTGGGTGTCATTTGTAGCACCTTGAGACACAGACAATACAATGTATATAGAAAATCTCATGATAACTTAGGCCAGTGATATTATACATACGACAGGGTACACCAAAGTATAATTAAAGCAACGCTTAACGCTATCAAGTGATATCATTTTTGGATGAGGTGGAACTGTTGCAAATTGTGAAATCAAACATTGTATCAAACTAATGCAAAATTAAAATTTACATAATTTCATACATGAAAAATATTGAAATTTTAGACACATATTTAGATATGATAACATTTTACGAAAGTGGTCACTGACTACCGATTTTCGTGTACAAAACAGTTTTACATCTTATTTGGCGCGTGAAAGAGTCTACAATGAAGATTTAAGAAAAAACAAATGTATTTTATACCTTACGCTGTTATTAGCCTCTTACCATAGCTGAGAACTTTCTCTCACTATTATATATATCCGTTCACCCTAATTAAAACAGTCCTAAACCAGACCATAACACCTGGAAATCAACAGATGATGACAAAATCTTCACTACAAGAAGCGACAGTCCACCCGGAATAATAGAACCATCCACACAAAAACAAACTGTACCGAACCAGATATGATCATGGGGACAATGTCTTATCTAAAAGGATTCAAACTTGTAAGACTAATCGGGACACGGAATAGAATCACCACAAGTGTTCCCAAGAGGCTATACTGTATATCAAAATGACAGAGGCGTCTTAGAGGAGGAGTGTCCAGGCTGGTAAAACACTTAATAGTTATAGAACAACTCCAACTTAAGATCAAATGCGAAATTGGATAAAATTCAAGCTAAAAGATTTCAAAGTGCCTTACACAATCTGTTCTAGGTGAGTACAGAATAACGACCATGCCGGATGAATATTTCCATTTCCCTGGCATATAATGGGACACACTGTTAGTAGGTTAGACTTATGGAATATTGAAGCAATGTACAGACTACCTAGCAACATCATCTACCATCATTCGTATAAAAGGTTCATAAAACCAAGCATGACTAAGAGACAGGTTCAATTCATCTCCGAGTGGTTGGATGGCTCATTGGTAACGCACTCGCCTTTCACCTACAGTTCTGGGTTCGATTCCCTAAGCGGACGTGAAAAGGTATGGAGTCATTTGCCTGATCACGTGGGTTCCCTGGTACTCCGGGTTCCTTCCATATTAAAACCTTTCGCACACTTCCATCAGGGGCCAGGAGTGATTCATATAAGCTGATAATTTGCTTTTCGGTTGTTGTAAAGTTAATAAAGTTTAAATTTATCCATAGACAATTTCTAAGAGAAAGGAGAATCGGTTGTATTACAAGAGAGGTTATCTGACCAGAATGACTCGGTCTTATCATTAGACATTGCTATAGGGACCGTACTTTTTCTATACCGTATTGAAGTTCACCAAAATACTAAACAATTACCAGAAAGATTATTTGAAGACATTGATCCTTGTGCAGGACGATAAATAACAGACTGGAGCACAGCAAACTTTACTGTGTCAACAAGTAACTGTGAAAAACCAGGACAAAGATTTAACACCAAAACATATAGATAACTAGCCTGAAGAAAAGAAGACATCATAAATATCAATATTCCAGCTTCAAATCCCAGATGGCATTAAATGGAAAAGACCAATCAGCATCATCTGTTAGAGAGCGACTTTCAACCTCGGCTTTCTTCACAGAGAGACCAATCAGCATCATCTGTTAGAGAGCGACTTTCAACCTCGGCTTTCTTCACAGAGAGACCAATCAGCATCATCTGTTAGAGAGCGACTTTCAACCTCGGCTTCCTTCACAGAGAGACCAATCAGCATCATCTGTTAGAGAGCGACTTTCAACCTCGGCTTTCTTCACAGAAACCTCTTTCATTGCACTTACGACTGCAGAAGACCGATCTACAAAGCCCTAGTTCGGTTAATTTATGGAATAGAGAACATTGTTATCGGACCCATAGACCTAAAACTAAACTAGAAAACACCCTAAGATATATATTAAGATATATATCCTGGAGTATCAAGGATGCGTCTAGCAGGAATCCGTGGCATAAATTCAAATGTAGAGCACTACACGGCAAGTGTTACAATCTTCACTTCATTTGACATTACACTTCTTATTTACTGCGGACACAATAGGTTGATATTACCAACTTACAGCTTTATACGTCTTCAGAGACATCTTTCGGTCGTTTCTGTCAAAACCGTTCCACCGGAAGTGATTTGATTTTGACAGAAGAACAGGTTGGGTGTTTACCTTTTGTTGCCAATGCCTTATTAATATCCCAAGGAATGATGTACGTTTATCATTAATTTGTCTGCATAAATGGATCTGCTATGGAAAAAAAAAACGTGTTCTTAATATTAACGTAAAAAGAAAATGTCAAGTTGATTTCCAGATTTACAGCCATCACCACAACCACAAAGTAGGGCACCTACAACTGTAAAGAAAGCTGTCAGTTTAAATTAATCATTCATATTGGTTCAGTGAACGCGCGGGATAGGTCTTGTTGATTACTCATATGGTGGGACAAATAACACCATTCCCCTCTAATGTCCGATCAAGGAATCGAACTCAAGTCGTCTTGGTGATTGGCGGATGAGTTACCACTACGCCAACTCAAAACATAGAGCAACATTCCAGTCCGTGATACTTACAATACTGACAGATATATGAGTAGTGTATTCCTACTCCGTCACAGCGGTAATCGTGCCACCTCCCTAGGGGGTCATCAAGACGGATTTGGGCGCAATCCTCGCTATGGTGACTTGGAACGAAAAGAAAGCCGTCAGTGTGCTGTGGTCCCTCTCCTGGCTGCCAATTAGACCACGTCAACTCCTGACCTGTAACATCACTCGAGGTGAGTTGTCGTGTTTGACTATGGGTGCAGTTTCTATATGACTTAAGATGTCAAGACAATATTATCATCAAGAGATCCCAGGGAAATTCACTATTGTATGATCTTCATTGTTAGTTCTTTAAACGTTAGTTTTTTTTTCTCCTCTTAAATACGTTTTACTGACAGTTAAATTAATCATATATATTACAACAACATAACAATAAACAAGGCAGTGTCTTGAAAGAAATCCTCATGCAAGATGGCCACCTACATTTATGTTTAGGCCGTTCTATTTTTGAAATCAGTCCCAAGATGAAAAATGCACAAGGGACCAAAGGGTATACCTACATAGGAACGGGAAAAATCATCTATTATTGTTAGTTACAAATAGTGGCAACACATTGTAACAACCAAAATCTGAGTTCTGTTCCGAAGCGAACAATGTCCAACTAAAGAGACCAAGAGGAACCAACACACAGTGCTTCTCTGAGAGCAATCTAAATGGCCTCTTGTTGTAAAAATTAAGCGACAACAAACAGAAAGTTGTAAAATCTAATATGGCCCCTAAACGTCTACGGCCATTTTGATTTTCTGATTAACATAAAATTGACAACGTACAAGTTAGGACCAAGGCAAAAATTGAAAAATAATTAATTCAGTCCTCTCTTTAAAAAGATGGCCGCCTGTCGGTTGTTTGGTTTCACCGCTAGGCACCAAGGGTAACCCTCACATATATACTTCAGAATGGCTTAATAAATAGTGGTATCAAGACTAGTTGAAGGACTGACGAACATAAGGAATAGAGTTGGCTTAAAACCTACACAGAGTGAAGGAGGACAACGTTATAATTATTCCAGTTCTTGTTTATTGAGGAAGATTAATATTTTTGGTGGTAGAAAACTTCGAACAATTAGATACTGGTTAGAATCTAAGACTTTGTAAGACAAAAAACGATTTAAAACATTGTATTATTCATAATGAGATTACTAGTATATCAAATATTACTATACTTGGGTAAATTTCGGTATCTTAAATGAACTTAAATTAGGATCAATGACTAACTGTGCTTCCTTTTTATATATATATGACGTCATATGTGACGTAATGGTGCTACCTGTGACCCACATCCACTTTTGTTCCACATCTTTGTCAGTGGCGCCAATCCAGACTCCGTGTCTATCCCAGTGTAGAACATCCCTCAAAGTCTTCACAATGAAATCCTGGATATCCTGGTTGACAACTTGCACGAGATTTCCGCTTCGTTTGTTACAGTCTTTTCTAGCGTCATCCCAGTTCCTCTCGGTGTGTACAAACTCGAGGCAATAGTCCCCATACTCCTGTAAGTGCTGGTCGCGTGTCACAGCGGCTGGGCACGAGTCTGTGCTACTTTCGGTACATTCTAGGCAGACAATGATATATCTTCAAGTTGCTGTATAATTTTGATTAATTCTATATTTTTACAGTCATTAGTTCCATAGAAATGAAATTGAAAAGACGTGCACATGGAAGTTTCGCACAGTTGTCTTTAACAAATCAATAGAAACATTGTTAATTAATGCCTACATTGATTTAAAAGTGCTTGATTTTTAATAGGAAAAAGATATTTTCTTAATTCAATTTGCTATTTGTTTTTTTCCTAACATTTCAATTCGGCACGCGCCAACTTCTTTAATATATTGAAAAAGTGAAACACGCGGTTATCGCTAAGAGCTCATCCAGACCTCCAAAGAAAAGATATTTTAATGCATTATACATGTATGAGGCGACTATTACTTGATAGAGACAAAAGGCAACTTGTTTTTGCTAAAATTAGCATTATGGGTGCGACGCCAACAGAACGATAAAATAAATGAAATTGATGAAAAGAAATCAGCTTCACGATAAATATGTATGTGTTGTTTTAAAGTTTTAACGACCTAACATTTTAATTACTGCTACTTCCAAATATGTGATACAGTCCATGACTGACGCTCTTATTCCACTAATCTCGTTTTGGATATAGATAATATTATGATTATTCCTTCTTGTTGATAAGGTCAAAGTTCACACGGAGATTGAAGTATGTGTTATATATTGAACAAAACAATTACACTTGTTTAATTGAATAAAATTAGTTTTCCATCCTGTAACGGATGCATGTTCAATAGTGTTGTTGATAAAACGACTCCGCACGATCGGTGAAAACTTTTAAACATTGGGTAAAGACAAACATTCGATGTTGTTTACGATAATGTATAAATTTTGAAAAATCTTAATTTTAAAACGTCCATGATGAGAGACTTACTTGTGAAGAAGAGAAGGACCAGGATTGAGAGCACAGCTGTACAGACGGTCCTCATCTTGTGGGGTGGGTCAACAGTATGGCAACTGTACACGTGCACAATGCTAGATAAAGTCTTCAGTTAGGACACCCAGCAACGCCTAAATATCAGCTATATGACCTGACAAGGACGATGGCCCAGAAAACACAGAGAATATGACTGGATATTGTGTGTTGTTATGAGAGTTAATGATAAATCTATATGCATAGTACCTAACAAAGAACTTTGTACATGTACATGGGTTTATAGTACCTAACAAAGTACTTTGTACATGTACATGGGTTTATAGTACCTAACAAAGTACTTTATACATGTACATGGGTTTATAGTACCTAACAAAGTACTTTGTACATGGGTTTATAGTACCTAACAAAGTACTTTATACATGTACATGGGTTTATAGTACCTAACAAAGTACTTTATACATGTACATGGGTTTATATACCTAACAAAGTACTTTATACATGGGTTTATAGTACCTAACAAAGTACTTTATACATGTACATGGGTTTATAGTACCTAACAAAGTACTTTATACATGTACATGGGTTTATAGTACCTAACAAAGTACTTTGTACATGTACATGGGTTTATAGTACCTAACAAAGTACTTTATACATGTACATGGGTTTATAGTACCTAACAAAGTACTTTATACATGTACATGGGTTTATAGTACCTAACAAAGTACTTTATACATGTACATGGGTTTATAGTACCTAACAAAGTACTTTGTACATGTACATGGGTTTATAGTACCTAACAAAGTACTTTGTTCATGGGTTTATAGTACCTAACAAAGAACTTTGTACATGGGTTTATAGTACCTAACAAAGTACTTTGTACATGGGTTTATACTACCTAACAAAGTACTTTGTACATGTACATGGGTTTATAGTACCTAACAAAGTACTTTGTTCATGGGTTTATAGTACCTAACAAAGTACTTTGTTCATGGGTTTATAGTACCTAACAAAGAACTTTGTACATGGGTTTATAGTACCTAACAAAGTACTTTGTTCATGGGTTTATAGTACCTAACAAAGTACTTTGTACATGTGTTTATAGTACCTAACAAAGTACTTTGTACATGGGTTTATAGTACCTAACAAAGTACTTTGTACATGTACATGGGTTTATAGTACCTAACAAAGTACTTTATACATGTACATGGGTTTATAGTACCTAACAAAGTACTTTGTACATGTACATGGGTTTATAGTACCTAACAAAGTACTTTGTTCATGGGTTTATAGTACCTAACAAAGTACTTTATACATGTACATGGGTTTATAGTACCTAACAAAGTACTTTGTACATGTACATGGGTTTATAGTACCTAACAAAGTACTTTATACATGTACATAGGTTTATAGTACCTAACAAAGTACTTTGTACATGTACATGGGTTTATAGTACCTAACAAAGTACTTTATACATGTACATGGGTTTATAGTACCTAACAAAGAACTTTGTACATGTACATGGGTTTATAGTACCTAACAAAGAACTTTGTACATGTACATGGGTTTATAGTACCTAACAAAGTACTTTGTACATGTACATGGGTTTATAGTACCTAACAAAGAACTTTGTACATGTACATGGGTTTATAGTACCTAACAAAGTACTTTATACATGTACATGGGTTTATAGTACCTAACAAAGAACTTTGTACATGTACATGGGTTTATAGTACCTAACAAAGTACTTTGTACATGTACATGGGTTTATAGTACCTAACAAAGTACTTTGTTCATGGGTTTATAGTACCTAACAAAGTACTTTGTTCATGGGTTTATAGTACCTAACAAAGAACTTTGTACATGTACATGGGTTTATAGTACCTAACAAAGTACTTTGTACATGTACATGGGTTTATAGTACCTAACAAAGAACTTTGTACATGTACATGGGTTTATAGTACCTAACAAAGTACTTTATACATGTACATGGGTTTATAGTACCTAACAAAGAACTTTGTACATGTACATGGGTTTATAGTACCTAACAAAGTACTTTATACATGTACATGGGTTTATAGTACCTAACAAAGTACTTTGTACATGGGTTTATAGTACCTAACAAAGTACTTTATACATGTACATGGGTTTATAGTACCTAACAAAGTACTTTGTACATGGGTTTATAGTACCTAACAAAGTACTTTGTTCATGGGTTTATAGTACCTAACAAAGAACTTTGTACATGTACATGGGTTTATAGTACCTAAGAAAGTACTTTGTACATGTACATGGGTTTATAGTACCTAACAAAGTACTTTATACATGTACATGGGTTTATAGTACCTAACAAAGTACTTTGTACATGTACATGGGTTTATAGTACCTAACAAAGACCTTTGTTGTGACCCCTCTCCCCTCATTTTACAAATTTAGTGGTCAAAGTGAGGTATAAGATAACCACATTTTAGTTGATGTTTTTACAGATTCATTTTTAGTGTGGCGGTAGTTTAAGATTAAAGCTAGGGAGAAATGTCAAAAACTGAATAAGTAGGTCACAGCGACATAATTCTGATCTGTCATGTTCTCTTGGATTGCTATCCTGAAGTGATAAGAAAACGATCCTCCTTTAATTGTTACAGTAAAATAAGAATCTTATCTTACCAATGATATATTGCTGAAGACTATTTTCATGTTCTGAATTGTAGCTATGTGTGGTTATTAGCCTGTTTTTTTTGTATATACAATGCATTGTTGAATTTTAAAAAGTATTTGTTAGGGAACAAATCAAATCCATTCTTATGTTTACAATATGACTCACGTATTTTTAATTCAGAATCCCGAATAAAATAGTTATATTTCTTGGTAACCAGGGTCGATATCAATCTGAAGTGCACACAATAAGTCTCGAGATAACACATAAATGATGATAGCTGGTAGTGCATACCTAGCATGCTACTCTGTTAAGGTACGTCTTGTGCCCACAGCCGGTTATATATAATTATTCCAAGTATTATCAGTTTAAAGTAGTTATAACGGTAGTTTTAGAAACCAGTCAGAACCATCAAAATAAAAAGTAAAAAGAATATATTGTCTGCACCTTGCAATTTTTAGTTCTACTTTATGATATACTCTAAACATTATTCTTACAATTATCATCACTTATATATAGTCGGATTTCAAATTCAGAAAAAGGTTTTATATAAGTTGGTACAACATGTTTCCGGATCCTATTAATTTGTACTGTGCTGTATGTTGTTTTGAACTCAATATTGAACAAAATAAAGTTTATATTAACATTGAATTTCATTTCATTTTAACAAATTTTATTGTGTGAACATATATCAATGAATAGGATACCAGGCAGTATAAATATAAATCTTCTCCATAAATTATGGCATAGGTGGTTTAGTTATAGTAAAGGTGTTTTAGTCTTTTTTTTTCAGAAGATCATTAAAAGCACATCGTTACATGTAAAATTGACAGCACGCGGGCTTGGCACACTAGTCATCTCCAAACAACAGGACGTTTTGTTCAGTCTACAATTATATATGTACTTTACAAATCACACCTCCGTTTAGAATGAACCCGGAAATAAGAACTTTCGTTACAAGATCATGTCCATTTGTTGGTTGGAAAGACCTGTACTCACGCATTCTTAGGGATAACTAATTTGATATAAAGATGTCTTTGTGCCCGGTAAAACACAACAATGCCATATATCACCTTAATATTGGAGATTCCCCCCCCCCCAGTTAACTATTCCATCTTTCTACGTTAATAAAACAGGCACCATTTCTAACCAAGATCTACCATCCTTGTACAACTTTGTAAGTGTTTTTTCAAAGGAGATTTCTTTTAGCTCTGGCCTTTCCTCCATCACCGCAAGCACAATGATAATTAAAATGGTTCTGTTGCCATCATCCTGTTACGATGGCCATGATGTCACTGTCCTGGTAAAAAGGTCTTGTAGTCATCATCCTGTAAAATGGCCATGATGTCACCATCGTGCTAAAACGATCATGTAGTCATCATCCTGTTACGATGGCCATGATGTTACTGTCCTGCTAAAACGATCATGTAGTCATCATTCTGTAAAATGACCATGATGTCACTGTCCTGCTAAAAAGGTCTTGTAGTCACCATCCTGTTAAAAAATACATGTCGTCACTATCCTGTTAAAACGGTTCTGAAGTTATACATTCTGTTAAAACATCGCTGTAGTATCCTATCGGTCAACATCCTGTTAGAACGATGTAGTCACCCCTACTTTTAAAACAGTTCTGCAGATACCCATCCCAACTTCCTGTCCTCTACCCTAAAGTGAACAACTACCCGTCCGTCTCTTCTCAAAAGAGATCAATTATTAAAAGAGTATTGTAAACTCAGTGTCATAGACCTTTAATAAAGCCTTTTATCATTTACTATTGAATCCATGTCATACATTAAAAAAAATGGAAATTTAAAAAAGAAAATCAAACACACTTTTCCAAACTGCAGTTTATTCCTGCTGATACACTTAACGATGTAACATGCTCATTTTTAAAGCTGTACATACATCATCATACAGATCACATGATTAGGTTTCCACGGCAACAGCCGAACATGAAAGTATATAATAATGTTAACAAATAGGAACTATCTAATAATAGTTATGATGACAGCAATAGTAAATATCACAATCATAAACATCACTTTAACATATCTGTTTGAACAAGGTTATATTGCACGTCGCCACAACTTCTCGTCACTACTGTCGAACCTTTAAAGATTCAATTGTCAACATCTGTTATTTATCTTGTAGTCACTGTCACAAAAATACTTGTAATTTACCTTAAAAGTCACTGTCACAGAAACACTTGTAATTTATCTGAAAGTCACTGTCACAGAAACACTTGTAATTTATCTTAGAGTCACTGTCAAAGAACTCTTGCAATTTATTTGTCATTGTCACAGAAACACTTGTGATTTATCTTAAAGTCACAGTCATAGAAACACTTGTGATTTATCTGAAAGTCATTGTCACAGAAACACTTGTGACTTATCTTAGTGTCA